CGGGCAAGTGAGACGGGTGGTGAAGAGGCCAACAAGTGTCAGGCGGCACGAAGCTGGTGCTGAGCTGGTCAGGCTCGAGACTGGGATCAAAGTAACGCAATACTGCCGTTGTGGCCTTCCCTTGCCTCGCCTTCCGCTCATTGCCTACCCTACCACACGCGACAACTGCGCCGCAATCAGTGCGCCGCAATCATGATCATGTCGCAATCAGCAGTGCTTGGCCAGGTCAGCACGAGAGTGTGAATGTAGCGCAGTGCAGTGCAGTGCAGTACAGTACAGTACAGTTCAGTTGTAGTGCCTACATACTGTTTGCCTGCTACCCTGCTATTCCATGAAGCTCGTTTTGCCGCAAGTGGAAGCCAGTCATCCCTCATCCCTCATCCCTCATCCCTCATCCCTCATCCCTCATCCATCATCCCTCATCCATCATCCCTCATCCATCATCCCTCATCCATCTCGCAATCCCTAGCAGACACGAGACGCCTCAAAAACGCCCGCCGCCATGGCGATGAGGATCTGTGACAAAGAACTTCTTCTTCTTCTACAAGCGTGGCTGTCGCATCAACAAGCCAAGCGAGTCGGAGATGAAGGAGCGGGGGAGGCGGCCTAGACCGTTTAAGGAAGGTGCAGGTCGGAGAGGGGAGGGCACGTGAGGGGAGCGCTCGATGGCACTAGGCAGGTATGGTAGAATGGGTAGAGACGATTGTCTTGGCTCACCAATGACAACTCGCCCCGCGCCTCCACAAGCGTGGTTGGCCTTTGATGTGTCCAGCTGGGGAGCTCATAGTGAGTAGGGCCGGGGCGCTGCATGCAGATAAGACGGAGCCTTGGGGCCTTTTCTCTTCTTCCCAACCCGCAACAGCCCATCCAGGCGCCCGGAGAGGCAACTGGCAAGAAAAGCGGCGTTCGCGCCACTTCCTGCCAATCCCTCTCCCAGCCAACAAGAACAGCGGCCCAGCCAAGCAGGCCAGCTGCATGATTCCGGCTTCTAGAAAGGCTGCTAGAAGGGCCTTGCAACGATGCCCTGCCGCTCCCTTACTCCATTCTACCTACTCCAAGAGGTAGTCCACCCCCAGACCATGGAATTGTACCAGCATGTACACAGTGGTATCTATGTACATGGCACATACTATACGCGCGCCAATCGCTCCTTATCAGCCGGACCACGTACCCAAACAGGATTAACAGATCCCCCCCACCCCCCCCCCACAATACATTGCCAATGCCACCCCCCGCCACCCACACCAACACGCTTTCAACCCCGCCGCTGGCTCCTGGGCTGCGAAGACCTTCCAAGCACTCTTAGTATCCCCAACCAACCAACCGCCCCCCCCCCTCCCCTGCCCCATCCTAGCTTCTTTGACAAACGAACGGTTGCGGAGGGTCGTGTGCAGCCAACCACACCCCGTACCGGCCTATCAGTTGCCCGCTGCAGGATACCTGGCACTTTCACCTTTCTCGACCCTAAGCCGGCCTGTGCACTACTGACCTGGTCGCTTGCGCCGTCCTGCCATTCTTCCCATGGTCTGGATAAAGTGTTATTGTCCCCCGCTGATCTCTCTCTTGTAGACGCATTAAAGCTCCTTGCTCCCTGGGCCTTTCACTCTTGCCCTCTAATACCCCCTTTTTTTGTTTAGTATTTTCTAGACAGCGTTTTGCTGTCCTCTCTGCCCCCGTCATGGATCACGAGAAGGCGCTGCCGCCTGATGAGAAGACGAGCATCCCTCACCCTTCCGTCGAGTCTGCCGAGCAGCAAGATGGTGAATGGCGTGAGAACGAGGACTTCATGACCCGCAATGGTCTGAACCTCAAATCCTTCCAACGCCGTCCCAGGGGTGGCCCGCTCATCGTCCTCGACAAGTCCATGAAGACGCGCCATCTGCACATGATTGCCATCGGTGGCTCCATCGGTGCCGGTTTCTTCGTTGGTTCTGGAGGTGCCCTGAACAAGGGTGGCCCTGCCTCTGTCCTCATTGACTTCTCTCTCATGGGTATCATGATCTTCAACGTCAGTAAGTAATCACGTACACGGAATCGCCCTGAGCCTGCCTCACCAGACCCTAACATTCCACTAGTCTACGCTCTTGGTGAACTCGCCATCATGTACCCCGTCTCTGGTGGTTTCTACACCTACTCTACCCGCTTCATCGATCCATCCTGGGGTTTCGCCATGGGCTGGAACTACGTCTTCCAATGGGCCATTGTCTTACCGCTAGAACTCAACGTCGCCGCTCTTACTGTGCAGTATTGGGATGGTGCCAAAGGAACCAGCATTGCCGTATGGATGACCATCTTCTGGGTCTTCATCATCTTCATCAACGTCTTTGGAACCTTGGGTTATGCCGAAGAAGAATTCTGGTCGTCCTGTCTCAAACTGGGCGCGACTGTCGTCTTCATGATCATTGCCCTCGTCTGCGTTCTCGGAGGTGGCCCAAGCGGCGGGAAATACGACGAGTACTACGGAGCCCGTAACTGGTATGACCCTGGTGCCTTCAACAATGGCTTCAAGGGTTTCTGTACCGTCTTCGTTACTGCTGCTTTCGCCTTCTCCGGAACGGAGTTGGTCGGTCTGGCTGCTGCCGAGACAAAGAACCCCCTCAAGTCGCTCCCCGGTGCCGTTCGTCAGGTCTTCTGGCGTATCACCCTCTTCTACATTCTCGGTCTCACCTTTGTCGGCCTGCTCGTGCGATCTGACGACCCACGTCTGCTCGGTGCCGAGGGTGACGGTGCCAACACTTCTCCCTTTGTCATTGCTGGAAAGGATGCCGGTCTTCGTGGATTCTACAGTTTCATGAATGTCGTCTTCATGGTTTCCGTCGTCTCCATTGGTGTCTCTGGTGTTTACGGTCGTGTTCGCGTACTATTACTGCTCTTGCAGACCAAGGTTACGCACCCAAGATCTTCACTTACATGGATCGCTCCGGACGTCCCCTTTTCTCGGTCATGTTCATTCTCGGATGGGGCGCCCTCTGCTACATGAACCTGGCTTCCACTGGTGTTGTCATCTTCAACTGGTTCGTCTCTCTGTCTGGTCTTGCAGCCCTCTTCACCTGGGGATCCATCTGCTTGGCTCACATCCGTTTCCGCAAGGCATGGGCCTACCACGGACACACTCTCGATGAGATTCCATTCAAGGCTGCCGGAGGTGTTTACGGATCTTGGATTGGCCTTACCATCATCTTCATTGTTCTCTGCGCCCAGGTAAGTTTCATCACAGCCAACCAATGATTTCTTTTACTAACAAACTCGCCAGTTCTACACCGCCATCTCTCCCATCGGCAAGCGTCTCGGCACGGCTTCGGATTTCTTCCAAGCCTACCTTGCTGTCTTCGTCGTCTCTGCCTTCTGGATTGCTGGTTACTTCTGGAAGCGCACTGGCTGGCTCAGGACCGCTCAGATGGACGTCGACACTGGCCGCCGTGAGCTCGACTGGGACCTCATCAACCGTGACCGCGAGGAGATGAAGACCTGGCCTGCATGGAAGCGTCTGTGTGCCCGCATCTTTTAGACGCATTCGTCTCTTGGTGCTCTCGCATAGTTTAGATGCTATCGAGCTTCGAGACGTTTGCACTTTTCATTTCGAAAGTGGTGGCCACGACGTTGATGCATTAATGGTAGCTTCCCGCATGTAATTTCATTACCTTCGCTCAAAGCGTTGCGTTTCTTCAATGCCTCGTTGTTCATGTTCACTGTGACTTGTACATGTTATTCCACTCGTAAGTCAAGTCAAACAAGGCTTGCTGCAACTGCATAGAGAATGGTAATGTCATGACGGGACAGCGAGGTAATGTGCACCTAGTCCCGCGCCATGCGTACTTATATCTCGATTGATCAGGCACAGATATATTCTTGCTCTTCACAAACAAGCCTTCTCCCCTCTATACTCGAGCCTGAAAGAATGGCCAGTTGTGAGTTGGGGAACTGTTGATGGAGGTTTGCAGATGCCCTGAGTACTTTGCAAAGCACGCACAGACAGGCGCATTTGGGCAGACTCTTCTGTCACGTGTGCACTTTGGCGGTCGGGTGCCAAGCTTGGAAGGCTCGATGGTGGCAGTCCATTGCAACTTCCAAGATTCAGTCATGGGAAGCCTGGGCTGGAACTGAGCTGTTCGAACATATGACGTTGTGCGAAGGCTGCGTGTACTTCGAATTCTCCTGAATCTCCATTCCGGGGCTGAGTAGGTGAGATGGTAACATGAGGTTTTGCACTATGCTTGACGTCGAATCTGTAGGTAATGCATGATACGTCACTTCCCAGTGCAGAAAACGGGCAAAGGCCACTTCCTATCGTGCTCCTCCTCAATTTCCTCGGGACGCGAAGGATCTCTACGGTAATTGCTCACCGATACGTCAGCAGCACTTAACCCACTCTTCACACTTCCTTTGTAGCCATTCTCAGTCAATCATCATATCTCGGTCTATCGTTACTTCAGGGCATACAGTCTCATTGCTATCCTTAAAAAAACTTCGCATCTCGCTCTCGCTCTCGCTCCATTACAATGTCTTCAAATGGCAGAGGTCGGTACTACTTGGACACCAAAGCTGCCATTCGCATGGTACATGGGCTGAAAAACATCCCCACCCGCGCCCCTTCACGCAAGGATTCCCTTGTAGACACACCCAGCAGTAAAGAGCTACTTCGATGGCAGACACTTTTCGGCTTCACCGCTGCGGATGCCGAGGTCGAGTTCATGGAGAATCGTGCCATGACAAGCACACATGTTGCCCGGCCTGAGTCTGCCGCTCTATGGCCATGGGAGCGTTGCCGAGCGTTGGGTTTTGACTTGGAGAGCTATGCTTATTGGCTCAGGATCGTGGAGCAGCACAAATTACTCCAACCCCAAGAGACCGCAAACGCTGTTCGCCATGCTGCCGACAGTTGGGAAATCTTTGTGTTCATGCCAGTAGACAGACTCGTCAATCGATTCAAATGGACGCCGGAGATCCAGAGACAACAGGGCTCAACCATCATTGCAATTCGCGACGACAAGGATTGTCAACAAAAGGCCATAGTCTTGCGCGCGTAGGAAGGGCGTTTACTTCGTGACCGCCTTCCGCCAATTGTTCAAGAGAATGGGAAGTTGCTTACGACTGGCGTAACAAGATGCATGACTATGTTCCCAACTCCAAAATCGCTACACGACGATTCACAAGCCCCGCGCATATATAGTACGACATTGCCTCAACACCGACTCAATCAAGGAGAGGTTCCTCGTCCGCTGCAAGGAGAGTATCCTGTATGGTATTTTCTCACCGGGGGCATATCACGGCAGCAAATTCTCATGAACTTGCTCAAGCTCGACAGGCTTCCAGACATGCGACCAGCAAGCATCAGGGATATGAAGGTAGTGCAGACTCAATACTGCTCTTCGCTAGTTGCAGCTACAACGGAAGACGTCCAAGCTGGTCGAGATGTCTGCGAAGGCTACGCATACCTTGTCAAGAGCGAGGTCGAAGAGCTCGCCTTGCGACAATTCAAGACTGCCCTTTATGATATTGTCCGCTGCAAAATCACCATTTCTAAGACAGGAACATTCTCAACTTACTCCGATGTGGAGGGTCTCACATTCGTATACACCTCAGGCGAAACCTCGTTTCAGACCTTGTGCGAGCATCCCAAAGAATTGTTAGAGGAAGTGATGGCAAAGGAGCGTATGGTCATCCAACCGACATACGATGCTCCAGCACTGGTGTCACAGAAAGCCACGCCAACCCTGCATGTATCACCTCAAGTGGCCATGGCTGCTCCTTCAAGAAACTTTTTGGTGTCAAGTACCGATTTCGCGGGTGTATGGTGGGACGAGGACTACGACGAGGACGACATAGATGTAGGATATGAAATGTCCTTCACGCCGGCTGTGCGGCCCCCGAGGCTTGAGGACCTTCCTGACCACACAATTGCTCCTCCAAGAGGTGATCCCCCGCCGTTCAGAAGCGGACTTCCACGATCTACCTATATACCTGTCCAACATACTCCAAGAGCAGGACGCAATTATCAAGGCCAGGGTATCCAGGACGAGGAGACAAAACGTCAACGAAAGCGAGAAGCAGCTCAGGCTGCACGGGAAGCGAGCGCTGCCCAAGAAGCTCAAGATGCAGTGCTTGCTCGACTGATTCGAGCGGAACTCTTCAGTACAAATGAACAAGAAGCCCGAGATGCTGCAATGGCTCGAAGGCTCCATTTGGAACTGAATGAAGACCCTTCTCCGCGCAAGCTCGATGGTTCGCAGCCCGCATCGCAATCCATCTCCTCTGCATCCGGATCGACATCTTCTGCACCTAAATCGACATCATTTGCGTCAAAATCCAGGCGGTACGCGGCGGACTCTGCTACTCCGCAAGTTACTTCTACCGCATCCACATCTACGTCTGCGTCTGCGTTACGTACCAATGATTCATTTATATACAACGGAGTCTGGAACGCCAGCTGGGGTGCATTTGAAGAAGTGGTGGAGCCTTTGAGGAGAATAACTAGTGCTGAACTAGTTAATACTAGACCGCCTGCCACTCAAGAGTCTATTCATCAAGAGCATTGTACTCAAGCGCCTAGCACTCGGGTGTCCGGTACTCAAGTGTCCGGTATGTGGGCGTTCAACTTTTCGGATCTGCTGGTCTGGAGCTAACGTACGGTACTAGTTTCTGTGGAAGAAGTGAACTCAGAAGAGGGAGAGTCTGACGAAGAGGAGCGCAGCTCTGGCAAAGGTAGAGCCCAATCCTGCAAAGAACAAGACGACGTTGTCAAAGACGAGGACGACTCTGATGAGGATGGAAGAGACTCCAGCAAAGGAAAAGGTTATTCTGGCCAAGCAAAGGACTATTCTGGCAAAGGGAAGGGAAGATCGGATGACCAAGCCGGCAGTTCCGACGAACAATCACAGACTCGCTGGAAAGGCAAAGGCAAAGTCGCCAGCACAACATTTGACGACAAGAAGTCGATTTTGATGAAAAGCATCAGTTTCCCTTCGACCTCTGTCCGAGAAGCACCCGCAATAGCTAAAAGTAGCCAGTCCATGTGCACAAGCATTTCTCTGCACAGGGAGATCCCAGCAGAAGACTCTCGCGACAGAGCACGCCATATAGCCGCAAGCTGCCTTGACTTCACCGTGGAGCATCATGGCAACGTACGTTATGATGAGGTGCAGATGCATGGATACGGCGGACACAGACAGCTCAGACCTGATAGTCTGGGCTGTAAACTAGGCAATTATCTCGCAGCTTGGGCGCGCGATGAGTTCACATCGACCTATCGTTCGCTTTGGAACGGAAGAGGTCATGTGGTGCGGCGTGTCCAATGGCAACTGGCTTAGCAGATGATTGTGCGGTGAAGAAACGGCCGGCTTTGCAGGAGATGAAAGAATCTCCTCCTTGGGTTATGTAAAGAAGCCGTACCAAGGTGGACGGGTTACTGAATTCACGCGATTCGTAATCGGCAACGCAAGTGCAAAGATGCGTGACGTCACCTGCTCTGCCTGCCCCCACCAGACTTCTAGCCCAATGAACCTTAATCTCCATTGCAATCACCATTTGAAATCCAGATCGACATTCTGCCCCCCACTCTGGCCTGCGCCAAGCATGCATCTTTGCGCAAGAAGCACATATTACAAAGCTGCCTGCATACTCGATTATGAAACTGAAACGGATGGGGGTGTCCACGCGCTAACTCTACTTGGCAGGATTTATTTTCCTGGTGGTACACGACACCCCCGTCACCCGTGGACACCCTGTGGCACTGGTCATGTAGTGCTCAGGTCAGGTCAAGTTATGCTGCTTGATCTTGTCTTCTTGCCCAACAGTGCTAACAATATGCTTTACCGATTAGGCCTGCAGCCTTACAATGCTGCTCATCTTATACTGCTTAGCATAATCACTAGCACTACGAAATATAAGCTCTCTAACATAGGGTGCTTTTTTAAACGGTGGCATGTAGCTTATCTGTGACCACTTTTCTGTAGTGTTGTTACGAGTCTTACGAGCCTAGTAGTGGTGCACTTCGCCGTTACCAGTGGTCCGTTACCAAACGTTCGGTTCTCTGTGTCAAGAGGTTGGTTACCCCAAGTGGGGCTCTGAGGAAGATTGTCGTATACTTGGGATCTGTTGCTGACACAGCAGACACAGTGACACCAGTGATTTCTCAGCCGCCTTGGGCATCTTCCTATCGTTCGACTGACTCTCCTCGAGGAGAGATGGTGCAGTACGACACAACATTGTCCTACTAGCGTATGCACAACATATCACGTACTCTCCAAGGCGCAGCGTTTGTTTCAGTCTAGCTATCCACAGCTCATGACGTCTTATGTTCATATCACACATATCCACCAAGAAATACAAGAAAACCCTCCAATCTATCTATCCCCAAACCAGCCCGCATAGCGGACAAAACCAGCCCCCCCAATCCACCAACTAAACCCCTGGACCCAGCACCATGGCAAACAAACCCCCAAGAAAAATAAAACAAGTAAACGCAACGTGATCCCTGTACCTTATCTATAGCCCTATATCATCCGTGATAACTACGACTATTCGCAACAACAGCATGATGACAAAACCAAAACCAGCCCTGCGCAGATCGTAACAGTAGCTCAGTCATCGAGGCCAAATTGAACTATTAGATGGAATAATCCATTGATTATCAAGACAAACCATAATCTTCCTCTGCACAAAGTTTAGCTCCCATCATCCCTGGCATGTGAAAGGTTCCTGGGGCGGGAGGTGCATCCGATGAGTTGTTACTGGGAATTATTCTCGAGCCTTCTGGGAGGTGATTGTCAAACACTACCAGTAATGGTAGTTCTAGACAGGCTTTGCACAATCCCTTTGCTATCCATGCACCCCTACTCCCCACTTGTTGAAGCCGAGGCCGAGGGGTTTTGGCTTTTCTGTGTACGGGGGTTAGAGAGAGTACCTGACGTAGGGTGGGGATGCATGTAGGTCGGGGTAGGGGGGGGGGAAGCTAGCTGGTGCAGTTCAGGCTTCTACAGCTGGTCACAACTTACGGGGATGCATGGGGTTCAAGGGTAGTTCTGTTGGGATTCCATGCGATTCAAAACGGATGGGGGCAGAGAGGTACATACATAAAGGTGTTGGGGAGCCCGTGTGACTTGTTCACTTTTTTCTGTTGTGTAGCATCTGGGTCTTTCTGCTATAAGTGTCATTGGATACAATCACGTTCAGCTTCTTTTTTCTGATCCTATTTGAAAATTGCTTTGTTAGGTATTTGATCTTGCAAGGAAATTGTTCAACTTGTGGTGCATATGACAAAGATGGTGTCGATCAAGAATTTGGTGTTTGGACTGTCGACTGCGGGACTTGCGCTTGCGCAGTCGACGTGTTCGAATCTTCAGGTTCGAAGTGAGGGGGAACCAGCTGGTGAGATTAGGAATATTGGTGGTTGTATGTTTAATTCCCCTTTGAATTCCTATCCCATCTCATCTCATCCAGATCTAAACTAACAACAACCCCCAAAAGTCCCAACCTACCTCTCCTACCCGAGCAACACCACGAAAGCTACAAAAGCCATCCTCTACATCTCCGACATCTTCGGTATCCCGCGGCCAGAAAACCGCCTCCTCGCCGACTCCCTCGCCGCAAATGGCTACCTCGTCGTCATGCCCGACATCTACTACAACGACTCCATCCCCGTCGACACTGATGAGTCCACTCTCGACCTATCATCATGGCTCCCCAATCATCCCCCAGAAGGCGTCGACGCCGTTATCAACTCCACACTCTCCTATATGCGCGGTGAGTTGGGTATGCAGCGCATTGGCGCAGTGGGCTACTGTTTCGGGGGCAAGTTTGTACCGAGATGGTTGAGGGAGGACGAGGGTCTTGTGGATGCTGGATTCATTGCGCATCCGAGTTTTATGTTGGATGAGGATCTGATGGGTGTGGTTGGTGGATTGAGTATTGCAGCTGGGAGTAAGTTTCTTATCTTCACATTTTTATTGTTTCCCACCCCCCGGCCTCCTTTGGTTTACCAGGTTATGTTGCAAGGGGCGGTGATGGTGATTATGATGAGCATCATGACGGGGATGACAAGGCTAATATGTACACTCAAACAGCCGACGACCCATTATTCAACACAACTCAAGTCGCACGCGCAGAGGAGATCCTAGCAGAAAGAAACTCGACCTTCCAAGTCAACCTCTACGCCCTAGCCCAACACGGTTTCGCCGTCAAAGTCAACGCCAGCATGCCCGCGCACGTCTTCGCCAAGCAAGCTAGCTTCGTGCAGGCCGTCACTTACTTCGACATGTGGTTGTAATGCAAATCGGGACATGCTTATCTTCATCTCGATACATACATAGTATGTGTCGTTGGAGATAGAGTATTCTGCGGGTGCGTTTGCATGCCAGTGTTCCTTCTTATCCCTATTGCACCGACCGAATTCGACCGGACCAATGCTTTGCAACCGCCACTTTGGCCGTCAACAGCAAAACTATGAACGAGCTCGGGGCGGCAACTAGCTGCAAGTCTGTGACGGGCGAACGTGCCATAAATGTTCCATGTAAGATCGGTCTGCTTAGCCGACTTGGGAGCTGCGTTGCGACATCACATTGGATTTTGTACATACTTCTTTGAACCACGGTATAGCGATGGCAAACCGGGGAAGTCTAGTCCACGATAGTTGCATCATTTCAGTATACTGTATATATTCTTTTGATCTGGTTGTCCAATCGAAGTGTGCAGAGGAAATAAGGGTGAGTGCAAACCCATGGCTTATCAACGCCAAGAAACATGAAGGAAATGTAGTAAGTGATTAGCCCCGCCCTGATAAAGGCCATGTGGGTAATTGTAACCCCATGTTTTCTTTTTGACTCGAGGGTTGAATCCATCATGTCCCAGTTTATCCAGCACGCACCTTGCTTTCACACATAAAGGTTTTTGCAGCTTGCCAGTATGCACAGTGCAGTACAGTACAGTAAACCAACAAACCTACTCCACGTCACTCATGCCGATCCCTTCGATCACTCTCCTTTCCACCCCAGAATTGGTCAGGATCTACTCTTAATCAAACCCATATATTAGCAGTGTCGGCCGCTTCGCCCTCTTCGTTTATTTGGGGGCTCACCAAATGCATCGTTTTCATCATCGGCAGAATGCCCCGATCCCCGTCGAGCTTCCAAGTACTTGACCCTGAGCTGCAATCGATTGCACTCGGCATTGAGCTGATTAATCCGCTTCTTCGCATCTTGCAGCTCATTCCAGACCTTTGTGAATCTTCTATCACTGACCATCTTCCTGTTCTCCTTGGGCTCGGCAATGGTCTCTGACTCCCCATCCAGCTGTGCCTGAAGGGCTTGGAGGAAGAAATCGAGGGCGCAGTTCATATGACCATGGAATTAGCGCTGCGTGAACTCGTATTTAGCATAGGGTTAGGCTGTGCCAAGCTCTACTAGCTAGCTAAGCGAGGTTAACTAAATATTATACTATAAGATTTTATAACGCGTTCTAAACCTATTCTAAATATATTCTATACTAGTAATACTATAAGCTACTACTACTATACCTATTACTAATATATCCTTTATATCCTATATAAGTAGATTAAAACATGTTTAGAACGTGTTCTTAATAGGTTATAGAAGCACTATTAATAGTACCTTGCTCTTAGCTGTGTCCTAGATAATATTAGGGTATAGCCTATAGTTAGCCCTAATAGGGTAGTTAAGATAAAGAGTAGAGAGCGCTACTACTATACTAAGATTAATAATAAGGGCACCTTATATAGAGTAAGAATAGGTTCTAAATATATTCTAAATAGGTTCTAATATTCTTAGGCTATTCTAGGTACTAGGGGCACTCTATATACCTATACTAAAAAAGATTATAGGCTTAATATAGCCTACTATAAGGTTAGTAGAGTTAAGAAGACTAGCTAGCCCTCTATAATAGAGGTCTATAAGGTAAAGAGTAAATATATTATTAACCTATTCTTAACTTATTATACTAATATATATAGACTTCTATATAAAGGTTATATATAATTACTAGAATACTCCTTGCTATAAGTTATTTAGAATATATTTAAAACTTATTACTAATATATTTTATAGAAGTTCTCTAAGCCTAGCTAGTAGCTACTATAGGCCCCCTAGTAAATACTAATACCCTCCTAAATATAATTTAGAAGAAGACTTATACTAGCTATAATAGTAATAAGGTATAGCCTGTAAGAACCTATTAAAAACACGTTACTAACTTGTTATAGCTTAACTTTATTACTATATCTACCCTACTAAGGATTTAAGGTTATTAGGTTCCTTATACTATCTATACTTGTAATTATCCTAGCTATAGTAAGTTATTTATAATATATTATTAACCTATTCCTAATATATTTTAAGACTATTACTTTAATACTAGTATAGACCTTACTAATTCCTGCTAGAATACTGCCTAGTTCTACTTGTAGTATGCTTTTATAGAGCCTAGGGAGGATAGGGAGGATAGAGAAGATACTAGAGAGGGGGAGGGAGATAATAATAGTAATAAGTAGGAACACGTTAAGAATATATTAAGAATAGGTTCTAATAAATAATATATAATAGTATATAACCTAAAGGGGTAGTAGTAATTACTAAAATAAACTCTCTACTCTTCTCTTTTTTTTTCTATCTACTAAAAGTAAAGTACTATTTACTTTTATAGGGTCCTTTAATAGTATATAACTTTTTCTTTTAACTTTTATAGGTATTATAAAGCTCTAGTAGTCCCTTAGATTAAAGAAGAATCTAGTATTTATAGGTATCTAGCTATAATATATTATTAATATATTCTAAATATATTTTAAGAGACTAGACTTATATCTCCTTTTTACTACTTTTGCTAAATATTATTTATAGTGTAAAGGGGAGTAACTATTTACTCCTCTTCTTTACTCTCTACTTCCTCTTTAGCCTCTACTCTAGCTACTACTTCTTATTGTAGACTAGCTATCTTAGAGGGTTCTTAAACCTTAGAGGAGGCACTTAGTGTAGTCTACTCTACTAGCAGAGAACGTATTATTAATATATTTAGAACACGTTCTTAAGTATTTACTATTAAGCTCCTATAGAAGATCCTTGCTTCTGTAATACCTTATATTATAGTTCTACTATAGTTTACTAGGGCTATTTAAACCTTAGGATAATACCTCTTAAGGTAGTAGATAAGATTACCTCTATTAAAGAAGTAACACTAAAATAGTTATTAATATATTATAAATATGTTCTAACTTACATGTATATATACTCTACAAAGTTCCTATACCCCTAATCTAGCCTAAATAGCCTAGCAGAAAAGCTTGCTAGGAAATACTATACACCTATTATTTAGGTAGGATATTATAGGAGAGAATACCCTAGTATTAGATAGAAGTAACTTAAGCTTAATATATTGCTAGTATAAATCCTACTTAGTATTAGAACAAGTTTATAACGTGTTCCTAACGTGTTCTATTATATACTAACTTTAAAAGATCTTTATAGACTATATTAACTAGTTATATCTAATAATATTAAGAAAGATAGATAGTAAAATAGTATTAAACTCTTAAATATAAAAAGTTCTTGTAAAGTATAAGAAGAAAGAAGAAGAAAGAGAAGAAGAAAGAATATATATTTATCTACTTATATATGCTTATGTGATAGACTAGAATATATTAAGAACTAGTTAGAAACTAGTTACTATATTTATAGACTAACCCTACCTTATATAAAAAGTAGCTATCTTTTTCTTAAGTTTAAACTATACCTTTTACAATTTAAATAGTGCCTTTTTCTATATAAGTTCTTCCTTATTTACCTCTAGCTTTTCTTTTCTCTCCTTTAGAGCCTAATTACTAAGAAGAGCCTTTTATTATAAAGTTTATAGTTATAGACTAATAATAAGTTAGGAACGTGTTATAAATATATTTTGCAAAGCATACCTTTAGGTTGCTATTAGTAGAGGAGAAGAGCCTAGTAGTAGAGAAGATAGAAAAGGGGCTAGTAAACTTCTTTCTAATACTACTCTACTACTTGCCCTCTAGCTTTAGGCTTTTAAGCGTGCTCTTTTATTTCTTATTAGGACTAAGATATATCTAGTTAAGTTAGATATAGCAAGACTTGCTTTATTATTATCTAGAGTATTATTATTATTATAGGATATATTCTAAATATATTCTAAACACGTTTTAATTAGCAAATATGCATAATACTAGTATAAGACTTACTTTCTCCCCTTTAAAGCTTTTTAAGGTACCTTTGCTTAAGCCTATTAGGAGTTCTATAGTTATAGTATATTCTAAACTTACTCTAGGCTTTAAACTCTTTTATATCCTATAGATCTATCTAGTGTGCACTATACAATATTACTTATACAATTCTAATAGGTTAAGAATAGGTTATAAACTTACTTCTAAGTGGCCTTAAGAATACTTACATGCTTACTAGTTTTATATCCTTTCTAGCCTGCTTGCTTAGCTATATTTAAATAAGATTCTAGTTTTTCCTATACCTCTTTTAATATTTTACTATAGTATTACACAATCCTAGTAGTAATTACTAGGTTTTTCTTATAGATTACCTAGTTTTAGGCATCTTTAGAGGGTTTGTGTTCTAATTATATAAGAATAAGTTAGGAACACGTTTAGAATAGGTTTAGAATATGTTTACTTATATAAGAGGAGGTTAGCAAGCTAAAAGTATTCCTCTACTATTAATACCTGTAGTAATTTACTTAGATATAAAGAGGTAGTATTATCTAGCTCTCTTTTATATGCTTTATAAATACTTCTTTATAGATATACTTAATAAAATCTTATACAAGATTAAAGTTACTAGCACTAGTTATACTTATAGGGATTAATTAACTAGAGATAGCGCCTAAGTCCTAGAAACAAGTTAGAAACATGTTATAAACAGGTTGCAGTGCGCTATAAAACTTGCCTATTATCTACTTATTATATATATTAATAGTAGTCCTATAGAATCCCTATAAGTAAATATACCTCTATAACACTTATCTTTTTATAAGTGCTTTACACTTCTAAAAGAAGTTAGTAATAGTAACTTAATATATCTTAGTTATATCCTTATCTATAATAATTTAGCTAAGTATAATAACTATAATATATTAGAAACGTGTTACAAACCTATTTTTAATATATACGCTTCTTTTCCTATAGGTAGAAGATTACTATTAGAATCTCTGCCTATGCCCTATATAACCTCTTATATAATATATCTATCTAGAATATATCTTAATCTAATAGAATTAATACCTACTCTTTAAAAAGGTAAATAATTAAGTTACCTAAGCTTAATATAAAGATTTACTATATATACGCCTATAGTAACGTGTTAGCAACGTGTTCTAAACCTGTTCTCTTACACCATGTATAGTTTTAGGATCCTAATGCTTTATCCTCTACTTATAGTATACTCCTCTAAGGCTACTCTTAAATAGGAACTATAGAAGCTTTTTACGCTTTATAATACGCAAGATTTTATCTTTATTTATAAAGCTAATATATATTTCTTTAATAGAATAGAAACCTTTAAGTTAGAGATAGGTTTAGAGCTAGGTTAAGTTTAGGAACTAGGCTATAATAAGTTAGGAACACGTTTATAATAGGTTACAAATAACTTATATTATATAAGCTATAGAGTAAGCATAGGCTATAACACCTTTACTACTTCCTTAATATTACTATTAGATAGTATTAAGGGAGGAGGAGGTATATATATATATATACTAAAAGAAATAATAGTAAAAAAAGGTATTACTACTATATCTATTAGTATAATTACTTAGAAGGTAACTTTATATAGGATTTTAAATAGAGATCCTTGCCCTTATAGATAATTAACGCCTAAAACATGTTAGGAACATATTAGGAATAGGTTGCAATATGCCTACTATACTTCTTTATCTAGCTTAACTGTGGCTTAACTACAGAATATAAAGCAGGACTACTAGAAAGATTTAATATCTCCCTAGTTAGAAGACCTTATAGATATATAGAGTCTACCTCTAGTAGTACCTAACTAAAATAATATTTTTTCCTAGTAGCAGATATTAGGCTATAGTTCTAATAGCTAATATATAGTTAAGCCTATTCTATAATTTACTAACTTATTATTAATATATTTTAAATATATTTAAGTTTTGCTCCCTACCTAATTTACTATAGTCCTTATTATAGGATAATAAGACACCTAGTAGTCCTTATAAATCCTTAAAGAGAAGCGCTTAATAAGGCTATAATAATAGCTTCTTATTTATAGTTCTCTTTATAGAATTTTCTTAGGTACTACACTTTTTAAGGTTTAGATCTAATTATATAATATATTATTAATAATATAATAAGAATATATTTATAATATATTCTTAAGATACTTATACGCTTTTACCCTAGAGTATTAGTATTTATACTAGCTTACTAGCTAGCTATTAAAGAATAGTAAAGTTATAGGCCTATTAAGATAGATAGACTAGCAGGAGTATTATACCTACTAGAATTAGAACAATTTAAGAACATATTCTTAACGTGTTACCTATATAGCCTGCATAAGCACCTCTTCTCTTATTAGGTAAGAGCTATCTTTATATTACTAAACTAGTATTATATACCTATACCCTTAGCTATATAATTAAGGGTATACTAGGAGAATAGCTACATGCTTAATAATTACTAGTATAAGTAGTAGTCCTTAACTATTACTATAAGTAAGGTATATATTATACCCCTATAATATATTACTAACCTATTCTAAACTTATTCTATTTACTTTTACTTACTTCCTTAATACTACTACTACTATCCTCCTCTAGCACTTTATATAGTTACCTAAATTTATCTCTAATATTACTATCTAGTTTAGATATATTATCTAGTACTACTATACTAAACTCTAGTATAGTATTTAGGAATACCTATATATTATTAAGAATAGGTTTAGAATATATTTAAAAAAGATAGTAATAAAAACTATGTTTACTTGCTTAAATTACCCTAATTTATACTTAACTATAGGCTAGTTTATATAACTATAAAAATTTGCCGCTGTAACGTGGACTTGAACCTACAGGGATATTCTAACCACTCGGAGTAAAGCCCAAGTCGCCCGACGCTAAACCCATGGTCATATGACATGCCACCACGAAGAAATCAGTGGTGATACCTTGTGTCAGTGCTGCGGCGATCGCGTCGCGAAGTTGGTCTAGTAGGCTGATCATCTCTTCAGGGACGCCCTTTTTGGCATCGAGATTTGTAATACGACGGCGCAGGTCACGTTCAATCTGTTGCAGCTCTTTGTATTCTTTCTCAGGGTTGTCCGACTGCTCGGCACGCTGGTGGAAGCGTGATAATAAGCCGTATGTGGTGCGGCAGCCGGAGTAGCCCGGCTTGGAGTTGTTGGGCGGAGGTAGGTAGTTTTCCATGTTGCTGATTATCGCGGCGATGGCGGCGTGACCGTGTCGGTTTTTGGGAGGATCATCCATGTTGCTGGTCATAAATGAAGCTGCCATGACGCAAGAATGTTGGTTGAACAAGAGTGACTATGAGCAGTGCCTTATTTCCAATAATTTCCAACGAAAGGGGAGGCAGCTTAGTAAGGATATAGTCGTATTTCTATACCTCAGAGTATAGCCGCTAGATGGATCTATGGTGAGAGAGCAAGAAAGGGTCGGAACAAACGCTGTCCACGATTAGTTGTGAGTGCACCTTGCATGGGCTAACACTAGCGGTCTCATTGGCTCCGTTGCGACTAGTACTACGAAGACCTGTACAGGCAAACATGATACGTCTAATGGTAATCTATCTCCTCGATAAACCAAAATGTTCTCTACAACCATGACCGTGAATCCCTAGAAGAGGCCACAAAGATATATAGTAAACGTGCCGCTTTCTCCTAATCTGTATAGAATAAATGAACAAATAGGATATCTCCAGCCATACCTCTACAAGTCATGCAATCACCAATTGGACATACAGAAGACACTCCGTTTTCTCCTCATACCACTTATAAACTAAAATACCTCCTGTACGTCGCGCAATACACGTGCAAAGTATACACTTTTTGTCTATGTCTGTTCATGTTCATACCCCTGCCTAGCGTCAAATTCACGTTACCGGTATACCCTGATCGATAGTTGTCTTTTTCCGTGCCGAAAGGCAAGCTTCTTAGCTCGGGCTACCTGCGCCTGGCTACGATGACCGTTTGACCCTCCTATTGACCTGGAAGTTATCGGAAGTTTATTCAAAATAATTCTACCCAGGAATGGACCCAGAAGTTCGCATTGAACTGTTAGCGGCGCGCTTGCGTGCGACCAGGCCTCCTGTTATCAGGACGGAGACCCGGTACCTACTGGTACCATGAGACAACTTGCACCAATTCTAGAATCTAAATCATGAGACTGGGCTGACTTACTTGCATTTTCTGTGTGCTCCTCACCCTATGTGCCTGGATTCGCGTGTCTGTACTTGCGTATCTGTATTCTTGCTTACTGGTATATTTGCCAGCTTAAGAGTTAGATACATGGAGCCAAATACTATCTATTTAGGCAACCCCATCCTAAGACTATGCCCGGGTCAGTAAGAAGGGTGAAGATGTTAATGTAAATACAAAGCAGATCTTGTGAAAGCAACAACTCCTCAATTTTCTTTCTTCACATCCATGGTCCATATTATCCACTATTCTAGACAGTCTAGAACAGCCACACCAATCCACATTCACCCTCTCTGTTAGACCGTAGAATAGCTCATGTCCTTACACCTTCAGGACTGGGAGGATATATAGTAATAGACTTTCTAACATCATTGCATCTGTTTTCTACGCCCGCAATTCCCTAAAATTAGTCATGTTCAATCACACACTTAGAGCCTCCTGACCGTAGCTAGAACCCGAAGGGTAAGCTTCTGGTTCGATCAACAGACATGGGAGAGTCATTATCTCGCACTTTCACCTTGCCTAGCTTGACACATACCGGTATGCGGGTTGCATACAGACAATCAGAGGCTGATTAGAACTGGATTTATTCAGCTTTAGGTATTATTCACGTCTACACGACTTGCTTGCCTCTTTGATATCGAAGTACTGGTAAATTGCGGCAGACGTCCATCACAAACTCTTCTTGAAATTCTCGTGGCATTGGTCGTGGTGCAAGTCTGGGGTGGTACCGGTACTGGTCGCTATAGCCTATTAGATTGGTAGAAAAAGCTGATTAAGCACAGTCTGTGAACAATCAATTCCTCACGATCTCCGGCAGCCGGCATCCCCGTTATCTCCGTCATCCCAGTGTCTCCGGCGCCTCCGGCAGCCCAAGCCACTCCCTGCCATGTAGTTTTGCGGACGACGCACGAACGTTGAGCATGAGCAGTAGATTTCGACTACATTCTCTCTCTCTCTCTTTCCGTCTCCAAGCTGTGGATATCATTCAAAAACAAATGTGGCCAACAAGGAAAAACATGAGTAAAGCCATGATGACACGTAAGGAGATGCAAGTCTCTTTATCAACATGAGAGGAAACACGCGATATCCTACTTCCAGATCTGCGATTTTTCACATTCCCCAATCAATCACTACCACTTCTCAATGTCCCAAAATATTTACCCAGTCACCCTACGAACTATCTGTATCCGTCCTATCCTTCTCTTTCCTCAGCCCGGTAACCGTCTCAACATGGTCAGTTCCCAAATGCGCCGCCTCCACGAAGAGGCTCGCAACAAAGCCCAAGAACCCAAGACAAGTGTACGTAATCCACATATTCTGCATCGCGTACGCAAAAGCCTTCTTCGCTGCAAGCTCCCAGACCGGATTGTCCAGCGTGCCCGGAAGCATCACATTCGCCATGGCACTGTCGCCATCCAGCTGGCGTAGCAGATCTTCTGGCAGGCCCGCGGCGCGCAGAGCCGGCGCGCGGTTGTTCATTGAGTTCTGGAATATCGTGCCACCGATGATTGTCGAAATGGAAACTGCAATGTTTCGAATAAATGCCAGGGTTGACGTTGCCGTCGCCACGTCTTGTTGCTCAACCTGACTTTGGATTGCGATGAGCGGCGCTTCGAAAAGCACGCCTGAGCCGAGACCGCCGACGATAAGGAAGCAGACCGCCTTGACCGTGGATGTGAATGCATCGAAGGAGATGAAGAGGCCGAAACCAAGGGTGAGTAGCAATGTGCCTCCCCATGAGATCTCCCGGAATCGGCCAGTGCGGTGGATGATGAAACCGCAAATTACCCCACTGATTGCGCCAGTGACGATGAAGGGTAATAAGAGGAGACCTGACCGTACAGGGGAAGCCTCTAGGACTGACTGGAAATACAATGGCATATAGTACTCTCCAGCAATAAAAACCTAGAAACTTCAGTAAAGGTAAAGGTATTTCGCTCATGGGGAATACATACGAAACCGTGGAAGAAAACGACTGCAAACGCAGCAACATTTGTCCTTCGTCTGAACAACTCCATTGGAATGAGGGGATACTTGGCAACACGAGCTTCGCTATAGACAAAAGCAAAGATCATCAGACTTCCAACGACCAGCAAGGCAATGATCTTAGCCGAGTCCCATGGGAAGAGAACACCGCCAAAATCCAGACCCAGTAGCAGCATCAAAGTGAAGCCTAGGAACGTGAATATGCCAGCCCAATCAATGGCCTTGATACCATCAACAAAGGAAGTATGTTCATGTTGTATATCAAGGAAGAGTAGGACCAGAAGTGCGGAGAAACCGCAGATAGGCAGATTGATCCAAACTGAAAGCTAATCAGCAGCTACACAGCCATCTGTCGTTCAAAAGGGGCAACACTCACAACACCACCGCCATGTAGCCAGACTAGCAAATACACCACCAAGTACAGGACCAATACCGCCCGCAAGAGCCCAAATACCTTCTGTAAATCCCATGAGCAGACTTCTCTGCCTCAAGCTAAAAAGATCACTGATGCACACATGGACCAGCAAAATCGACCCACCACCCGCGACTCCCTGAAACGCTCTTCCGATGATCAATCCTTCCATTGTCTTGGCCGAGGCGCACACAGCCGAGCTAATGAAGAAGATGACAAGTGCAGCAAGGATTATGATCTTGCGGCCCCAGATATCTGAAAGCTTTGCCCAGATGGGACCGCTCGCAGCGCTGGCGAGGAGGTAGGCCCCTCCTATCCATGTGTACCCTGCTGCAGAGCGGAGGTCACGGGCAATAGTTGGTGCAGCTGTTGCGACGATTGTAGCATCGAGGGCTGCTACGAAGAGAAGGAGCTGGACTTGGTCAGCAGGTCCATGTATGAAATGATGTCGAGCTTGAAGGCGAAAATGAAGATGGACAATGTCAAGGTAGATTGACATACAAATAGCGCGGTGATGATGGCCACCATATGAAATCTGCTCCTCTTCTTCCCATCATTCGCAATTGACACTGCCTTTTCCAATGCCACGCCATGAGCATCCCCTGTGCGTTCGTCTTTCTCTGTCGTCCCCGTGGCTGGTAGGACGTCTAGTTCCATTTCCTGTGCCATTGTCTTTGCCTCGATGATGTCCCCGTCCTCTCAACTAACACAAGAAGGAGGAAGAAGAAGAAGAAGAAGAAGACGCTAGATATAGCTGATCGCTGACCGGAACATGAAGAGTCACACCCACAATCCACAAGCTGAAGTCGCATACGCTGGGACCTCTGAAGCCCTTTTTCATCGCGTCACCGCTTCGGTCGGTCCAATCGCCTATTTTAGCGGGGCAGACTAGCCATGAATACTTGCCTGTATGGGCATGGCGCGCGCCCTTCAAGATGTTAGTCAATGCGGGATGATGGGGAATGCCATATCGACGAGCGAGAATTCTATGTGGATGGATGCAAATGAATGAATGAATGAGTGCTGAGTGCATAAGCCTTGGCGTTAAGAGAGAACACTGGGGGCGACTGAGGTGCATTTTGTGTTGATTTGAACTAACCGTGTCAGGAGATCGTGATTAGGTAAGCTGCGTTACTAGCCCCACCCCATCAGGTCGACCCGTCCCTTGGCTGGCTTGGACAGGGACACTCACTCCTCATCTTCAACATTGTTGAATCTCTCGACGAGTCCTGCATCAATGAAAGCGACAATGATCTCTTTAATCCTATCGGCAAGGTGGACAAATTTTGCCTCATATCCAGTCTTGGTAGTTCCAGATTTTCCAACATGTGACTGCATCCATGGTAGTATATATACACCTCTACAAGGCCACTACAGCTCGGATGCCATCGGCTGCTAACTGGAGTTTGCTTACCTAATTACATCGGAAGGCAGACATATAAAAACATGTCCTCTGTTTCTTTTCTTCACTATCTAAAAGATTGGAGAATTCCAAGCATGTAGGTATCAACTTGCAATTCTGCTGTATGCCCAGTAGCTAACTACACACAGCAACCGGTGAATCATTAAGCATAATGTCCGGCAATGGCAAATACCTCATCACCGGCGGCCTTGTCGTCACCCTCGACGATAGCCTTGGGGATTATGAAAACGGTGCGATTCTCATCGAAGACGGCGTCATCAAAGCCGTAGGCAGGGCAGAAGATATCAGCGCACCTGGAGCCGAAGTCATTGATGCCAGCGAAGGCGTCGTCATCCCTGGCTTCGTAGACTCGCACCGCCATCTCGCCATGAGTCTCATGCGTGGCATCTCCATTGACCAAAACATCTGGCCCTTTCTCATCGATGTCTTCACCCGCTTCTGCCCAGCCATCAGTGTTGAAGACATGCACATGGCCGGACTCATTGGCGGTCTCGAGGCCATTGAAAGCGGCACCACCACCATCATGAACCCCTCAGACTCCATGAACTCGGTCGCGCACGCGGCCGCTGAACTGCAAGGACTCCGTGAATCTGGGATCCGGGGCTACCACTGCTACGGCATGGGAGGAGGTCCCTACGGCGACGTCGCTGCCGGGAAACCCGGCTGGGAGGCTCGAATGCAGCATGCCAAACAGCTCATCGAGGAGGACTCGGCCAGCAATCTCCTCCGCGTTGGCGTCCACCTCAGCATGTCCAGCACCGTCCCCTTCTCCTGGATCAAAGATGAAATCCAATTCGCCCATGCCCTCTCCGCCTTCACCGTCTCGCACTCGAGCACCCTCCGCGGCACCGATTTCACACGGGACCTCGAGATCCGCGCAGACATGGACGTCATGCTACCCGGCCACCTCTACATCCACTGCACCAACGTCCTCGACCACGAAATGGCCTCCATCGCCGCCACCCGCGGCGCCCTCGCCCTCACCCCAGACCCCAATATCCAAACGGGCATGGGCTACCCGCCCCTGCGCCAGGCCCTCGCCCACGGCCTCCACCCCGCCCTCAGCACCGACAGCTCCTGCACGACGCCGCCGGACATGATGTCAGCCATGCGCCTTCAACTCGCGACCCAGCGCAGTCTCGACCACGCCGCCGTCCACAGCACAGGCAACATCTCGTCCACCACCGAACTCGTCGCCCGCGACGCCCTGATCTGGGGCACACGCAACGGCGCCGCCGCCCTCGGGCTCGCCGACAAAATCGGCACTCTGACCCCCGGTAAACGCGCCGACATCGTCGTCATCACCAACAAACGGCGTCTCTCGGCCACGGCGAATCCCCTCGGCACAGCCGTCATGCACGCGTCGACTGCGGATGTGGATCTCGTCATGGTAGACGGCAAGATTAGGAAGCGGGATGGGCAGCTTGTTGGCATCGATGTTGCGGATGTGAAGGCGAGGGCGCGACAGGCGTGGGCGAGGATACGTGCCAAGATGGAGAATCTGAAGTCGGACACGGGGCCGGAGGCGCTGCAGGAGTTTATACGCCAGACAGAGAGGAATCATCGGGTTAATACGGCGGATGCGTACCGGTAGTTATAGTCTGGAGCAATGGGAAAAAAGGGTTTGGGGGGGTGGGGAATACAGCGAGAGTACATCAGTCACACAACCATCATGCACGCCCATGACACACGTATAAACATGGAATGCTATACAGCTCAGCCGTTATTTCGTAAATTCCATGACCATCATGTTTAGCAGGATAATAGTCCTATGTCGTTTTCTGCGTTGACACACAACACAAATACAGGCGCCGCAGATCCATGCTCATGCTAATCATCCTCGTTATGCAAAAGGAAAGAAGACATACGTAAAGATGTTAAAATGGTAACAAGAATTTGGCCAAAAAAAAAAGGGCAGAAAAGACTACAGTAGCATGATCAAGCAAGGGGAATGTATGCTAGCAGACTGCTCACTCGCTCGACACCTCATCTCTTTCATTTCCTTTTTCTTTCATGAGCTCCTCGCCACTACCTCCTCCGCCTTGGCCTCTCCTCCTCGCCCTCACTCTCCTCCTCCACTGGCGCCGGCGTCCTCCTCTCCCTCGCCCGATGCGCCTTCCTTCTCCGATTATGACTAACATTACTTGCACTATCATCCGGGCCAATCTCGCTCTTCAAATCGTCATTGTTCAACCCCTCGTCAGGATCACGGAAACCCGGTGTGTCCATGCGCACGCCCACCTCGTCCACGCCCATGCCACGTCGTTGCTGCGCAACCATGGAGAGGGCGGCGGCGCGCTCGCGCAGTCGGCGACGTACCGCTTCGGCTTGGTGGTGCAACTGCTCAAATGCGTCTTCCATGGCTTCCATGCCGAGGTAGATTTCGCGTTCGATTTCGGCCAGGACCGCGATTTCGGTTTCTTCGTCGATTTGCACGGGGGCGCCGCCCGGGGGCCGAACGCTTCCCGGTCGGGTGCTGCCTGGCCGGGAGTTTGGTGATGGACTGAATGTGCCAAACTTGTTGGCATTGCTCGGGAGTGGTGATGCAAAGCGCTGTGGCCCATCTGTAGCAGGTATTTGCCCTGCTCTCGATGTAGTACGCGGCGGTGTCGTGTTCATGTCGGGCATATCCTCCATGCCCGACCAGAGAAAGCCATCGAAGCGGCCCGAGACCAAGATCTCCCACTCATGTTTTGTGACGGCTGCGAGGGTGGCAAGCATGTTGTGCATGGAGGGATGGCGGATGAGATACATGACTACTAGTTGATTTCTCGGTGGGCTGAACAATCGGTATAGACGTTGGAGCGCTAGACCTGCCTTTGCCAAGTACGGTGGGACGCCGGTGTCAGGTTTCTGCGTGCGTGGGTTTGGCAGTTTTTCTAGGCCCCAGAGGAGAGCGTAGAAGAGTGGACGTTGGGGTTGCTCGAGACGGGTCAACATGATGAAGGTTAGTGTTTCGTCATCTGCGTCTTCGGGGACGTTTTCTGTTTGGTCAGAGAGCCAGGATTGGACTGCGACTTTCGTCTTCTTTGACTGTTTTTCGTAGTGCTCGCGGTATTGTTCAGGAACGTCAACGTCGATTCTTTGACAAGGTGCCTCAAGGTCAGATGATATTCCTAAACCAGGACCAGGACCCTCATCGTAGGGCGGCCAGGCCGGGAGTTCGCAACGGCCCGAGACTAGCTCCAAGATTTCACCCCAGTTTACACCAGCCGAGTCTTCGGGGAGGGAATGATCAAAACACATCATGCATTCACAGTGCTCCGAGGATATGTTACGTGCAAAAACGTTCTCGAGTCTGTCTAGAAGACGCCGTGCAACTGATTTGTAGCCAGTGGCTACGGCCAGGGAACCACTGGTATCCATGACTGTATTGTAGCTGTTGAGCACGTTTTGAAGAGGTTTGAAGAAATTTCGAACATCGTGGGCTTGTGCACCCGATAATCGTGGCGTTGTATACTGTGAGTACGCTGAGGCAGGAACACCGTCGATAGCAGCCAGGAGACTTCTTGGTATCGCCTTGGCCAGACCACCGTTTTGTAGCAGATAATCCACCCGAGGCGCTTCCATCATCATGGTTGGTGGCGGCGGAGGTGGCGGCGGGGTCATTGGTGACTGTTGTGAGTGCGTAGTGTCTACTGACTGCGTCCGTGACATGGGATCCGTCATGATTTCAATCATGGGCGGTCCATCCTTTACAGAGGACACCACCGAGGGCAGTACGGAGTGTTGGGTGGGCGTCGGTGGCGAAGAGTCGACGATGGAGGATTGTGATATTTCCGATTGTTCTGGTGAATTCGCCCTTATTTGGGTATTGTGGTCCGGGGGTACAGAGGTAGTGTCCGAGTCAATTGTATACTCTGATGGGGCTCTCGTCTTCAACTTGACCGGTGTCGACGTTCTTCCAGGCGGGCGAGCGCTGGACGGACTGGCTGTCTTGGTCCTGGGTGCCAGCTGAGGCGACTTGGCGCGTATCGTACTGGGCTGTGAGTTTGTGGTGGAGGTGAGGTCGGTCATGTCGAAGGCGTCCTCTTCCTCCCGTATGCTGGACCGTGATGCTATCCGCGGGCCAGCTTGGGATGTGACGTGGGTGCTGCTATCCACGCTCCGCCGCCCACTTTGCATCTCGCGGTGGACGGCGTCTGAGTCCTTGCGTCGCATGCTGTTTGCACTGGCCTGTTTCCGCAAGTCGGCCGTGGTGGTGGCAGTCAGCGGCGGACTTGGGGGTGGCCGCGGGGGTGTGGGTGCAACGCGAGCGGGCGGTGGGGGTACAGTGAAGGGGTCGCTTCCAGCGGGCATTTTGGTGGCATCGCTGTCGGTCGTGCCTGTGCTCATGGTCGACTTCCTTTTCTCTGAGTCGTCGCGGGCGTAGATGCTCTCCTTGGCGTACGTCTTGGACAGCGTGGGGTAGGGCAGACTGATGCGCGACGTGTTGTTGGAGCTAATGGAGCCTCTGCGCTCCATCTCGGGCACGACGGCCATCTTGTGCGACTTGGTCGATGGCGACGATGTCGAGGTCGAGGTGCGGCTTCGCTCCGTCGACGGGCGCTCCCGCAAGCTACTGCTGCTCTCAGTAACGTCCTCCTTGGACTCTTTGGAGCCCGAAGAGCGGGGCTTGCGGGACTTGGTGCTCTTGCGGTGCTCGCGGTCGCGGTCCTTGTCGCGGTCACGGTCCTTGTCACGGTCCCGATCCTTTTCTCGATCGCGGTCTTTGGTCCTGGGGCTGGTGCGCTCGCGGTCGGGGTCCTTCTTGCGGCGGCGGTGTGAGTCGGAGGGGGTCGACATGGACATGACGACGGAGGACAGCACAACGACAGGCGGGCACAGTTGTTGAGGGGGAGGTGGGGAGGGGGTGTGGTGACTGTGTTGGTGCCGCAAAGCTGGTGCGAGCCTGCTGCGGGCGAGATCACTCCAGCGCGGCTATGAGCCTCTTGGATTGGGCGTTTGCAGCGGGCACGTCGCGCGGTTGCGCCTATCAGCAGGGCAGACCGCCATGCATCTGCGAGGCGGGCGGGCAAGCAGGCTGTATGGCTGAGGGGGGAGGGGATCGTCGGGGTGGAATGGCAGAAGGGCGAGAGGGCGAGAGCGAGGTGGTAATTCGGGAATCTGCAGCAGGAATTCCGGGTAGCAAGGGAGGGCAGGGCAGCAGGCTGTGGTAGAGGGTTCCTAGTAGAGTAGGGTGTCCTAGTGTCCGCTGTCGTGGGTTGCAAGACTGGGCAAAGTCCTGCTGCTAATGTTAGGCCTGGTGCTCTGACGTGTAAAAGTGCCGCCCGGTCTCAGCCTAGCCGACAGCCAATAAGTTAGCCCTTCTGCAGGCCATACCGGTGCAGCAGATAGAAAAGTGCTGTGGTATGTACAACACGAGACGAAGGCACACAACAAGAAAACCGGGAAGCAACACCTCTGCGCACACGGCAAAAACTCCAGCTTGATCAGCGAACTGGGAAGCACAATCTTCACGGCCCGGTTCTTTTGCTGTCACAGCCATCGCCATCTGGCACGGCCCTTGGGCGTCCACGTTTGGGCCGTACCTACAAATCGGGCCTCAAAGGAATACGGTTGCTGCACTTGCTCTGTTGGCATCATTTCGCACACGCACGTCATAAGGTACCTATGCCGCAGCTTGCATACTGGACATTGAAAAGAGGTCCTCTGGAAGAAGTCGCAGTTCCAGAGCATTGGTAGAGGTACAAATCATGCGTCCAGCTTCATGCACAAGCCGTATACTTTAGCCTACCATAGCAGGTAGTGTGTGTGAGCGGTGACGATTGCAGATTCTAGAGTGCCGCTGCAGTGTCTCAAAACAACTGCTATAATAGACGGGTACTGGCTGCACGTGGAGATGTGTCTAACCCTGGAGCATATTCTGAATACAACTTGTAACAAGCCTAACATTCCGCTGCTACCTCTTCACATTACACCACAAAGACACCACACCCACGTCTTGGGGTCAATATTGTAAATCGAGAATCAGCTATCATGAACAGAACCCAATTCAATCCAATCCAGTCCAGTCCAGTCCGTGTCGAAGAGGTATCACGCGAAAAAAAGGGGGAAAAGGCCAATGGGATGTACATGCTTCACCAGGCCAAAGCCCCAATCAATCGCTCTCGTTTGCCATTTCCCCTTCCCCTCCATAAGATGAATGAAATCCGAATCCAAAGCAAACATAATGGCCAAGAGTTCAGGGACGTGGTAATGTACAAGGTGTGGAATGCTAAAAGGTGGCCAGGTGGCAAGATAAAGGCAAAAATAAAAACACAGCCGTAGCGACAGAGTATGTGGACAGGATTCGTAGAGAGACACTGTACCGTGGGTATATCATCTGAACGTATCTTGATCCGTAGTAGAGAAATGTAAAAGGGCGCATAGAGCAAAGCTAGAGCGTTGCGCGTCCGTCTGCCCACCCGCCCTGGAGTGGCAGAGATGCAATCAATCTTTTCGTCTTCTTCTTCAGAGTAACCCTCTACTGGTATAACGCCGACAACTCCTTTGCCTGCTTGGCCGTTTCATGGCCAAAATCAAGCTTCATCATAGACGGTGAGCTGTTGAAGTGGTTTTCAACGCTGGATCTAGTGGGCATTCATCGTTTGATCCCATTGTGAATAGTCTGCAGCAGCCTCTTATCAGCGCTTCTCAATGTCCTTGCTGCTGAGCTTGCGTGTTATTAACATGCTGCTGAGCGAGCTGAGCACGTAGCGTAGTGATCTCATTCTGCAAAGTCGAGATCCTTTCGTTGTGTTCCTTTTCCATGCGCGCCATTCGGGCTTCAATGTCGCGAACATATTGCCACACATCCACCTGGTTTCCCATGACCTCGCGCATGCTACTTCCACTTCCACCATGGCTGGACATGCTGCCAGGCTGCGAGGATGTGCCTGGAGCGGCCATGGTCTGGTTCTGAAGCAGGCTTGGGCCATTGGTCTTGCCACCCATGGAGCCTTGCTTAGACGCCATGGGGTTCAAGCCAGGCAGCGAGGGCAAATGAGGGGCGCCATTGACAGTGGGTGGAGCCAATGCCATGGGCGGCGTTCCTCGCGCACGCCCGTACATGTGTTGCGAGATACTCGGGGACCGCGATCCATGCATGTTAGCTTCCGGGGCGCCGAGACGACGGTGCTCTTGCTGGCCTGGCGAAAGGGGCTTGGGACTCTCCGTCATGCTCCCGTGAGCAAACACATTCGACTGGTTTGCATTGTGAATCGAGGATATACTCGAGGGCGCTGCTTTTGGCGACAAGTTAGTCCCTTGCGTTGATGCTGCCGGATAGTATGGGCGAGAGGTGCTAGGCAAAGTCGAGGCTCGGTTGGCAGCAACAGGTGGGTAGGTGCTAGAGTGCTGATGATACGAACCTTGCGCAGAGTTGCCCGTGTTCTGCCTTTTTCGCGCAGGCTCACTGACACGTCGGCCTTCGTCGTCAAGCTCGTCCTCTTCATCAGGTTCCCCAGTATACACGACGCCGTCCATGCCCTCGCCGGCTTTGCCATCTCCCATCTCCTCGCCATCCATGCCAAAACTAGATCGACGACCTGCACAGCCCCCTTGGCCCTTGTTATGCCGTGCGAGCGCATCTCCACGGGCAAATCGACGCCCGCACTTGAAGCAAGTATGTGGTCTTTCACCGGTATGCAGTTTCGTGTGGCGCTTCAGGTCGTGTAAGCGGCGGAAACGGGCCTGGCAGGTTGGACATTCATAGGGCTTTTCTTGGCTGTGAGTTAACAAGTGACTCTTGAGATTGTGGTGTCGCGTAAAGTCGGTGGAGCAGTATGGACATTTGTGTCTCTTGGTGGACGGCGACTTGGGCGTATTCTGACCGTAACCTGGAAGACTCATCTGACGGGCTGGAGCACGTGGATCCTCCAATGGCATTGGACCAGGAAAGGTAAATGCCCGATTGCCGGGGTTGTCAGTTGGGTTCGGCGCAATCAACTGGTGATGAGGCTGGTGCTGATGCTGGTGCTGTTGTTGTGGTTGCTGTTGCTGCTGTTGTGGCGGTTGCTGAGGCACGCCTTCCTGTGCGGCATTCCCAACAGGGCTGGCCATCACATCGATGGTAGGAGCACCTTGTGTGGCTGTTGCATCACCGTCACCAAAACTCGAAAGGCTTACAGGGCTTGTGTGCATGGCATCTCCGGTGACTCCGGCCTGCTCTGGTATCATGAGGGCGGGTTTTGCTGCCTTGTCGCCTTGGGCGGTCATTGGCGGAAGCGTAGGAGGTGCATCGGATGGGCGGCTCATGGGCTGACTGTTGTTCGCAGTTAGGCTCTGCAACGCGGCGGCAGCGGGGTTGGGGCTCGTTTGCCTCGCAGTCTGTTCTCGATATCTTCGCTCGTCGGCGAGGGCGGCTGCTCCCGTGAGCGGTGCTGGAGAGAGTCGCGGTGAAAGGCCACGCGGTGACTTGGTGAGGTGGGTTCCGAAAGTTGCGCCGCCATGGGCGTTCCGTGCCGTCGAGCCTGGTGTGGTCGGGCGGTTTGGTGGTGCAAAGGGCCCAGTGTGGGTGGGCGTGATCGCTCGCGTTGATGCGGCCATGGTTCGGGGGGGTGGCGAGGCAGGGCTCGGTATATGTGCGAATGATGTCTGCAGAGCCGCATCAGCACGTTGTCGGAATGGAGAGGCGCGACATGGCCACCCCAGAGGCTCTCGCACATACTACCTAGTATGTACATGGATGGAGGTGGCAACAGGATGGTCGCGGTAGGGCACTTGGCTTGACTTACCTGCTGTGGCTATGTTGCTATAGATTCAGGTTGATGCGCTGACAGGCAAGTGATTCTGCAGTGGTTCCGTCTGGGCCAACACTCATGCCAGAGGCTCCCTACCAGCACGCACTCCCGCTTCAGAGGCACTGAGCGACTCGAAAGAGCCAGCTTCGCGACGGCGCAGTTGATTGCCTCACAAACGCGCTCGGTTGCGGATGCGGATGCGGGTCCAGCCAAGGCGATCACCGTCTGATGTCCAGACAGCCAGCGACCCAGGATCAAGGACCAGGGGATGCGCAGAGCACAGCAAAGGCTGCAATGGACAATGTGCAGCCGTTCTAGGACTGGAGAAGCTGTACCGCGAGGGTCGAGGGTCGCAGGTTGTGCCTGTGACGACAGCAATGGGCGGGCCGGGGCTGGGGAATGCGACAGAGCTTAGCGGCCAGAGGGCGTGTGAGGCTGCAAAGCTGAGGCCGGGCGAATGCGTCCGCGAGTTACCTAGCCAGGTGGGGGTGCGCGCGCAGGCGGACAGCACACACACACACACACACACACACAGCGAACCGTATGTAAAGAGTATGAGTGGCACTGGGCGTGGGCAATGGGGAGGGAGACGAGGGAGGGGGGGATGGCTGCGGGTGTCTGCTCGTCCGGTCCAGGTGCAGCTCGCAAAGCAAGACGACAGTTGCGGGAAATCGCAGCGTCGCAGGGTTGTGGAATGTTTGATGGTGCGCGTCGAAGGCTGGTGCTGCCGATGACGAAGAGTTGGAACGAGGTTGTGGCTGAAGAGTGCGCGGGCTCTCCTACTACGGGCGTACGCAGACTAGGTACTGTAGGTGCTGTGGGGACGCTGGGCCTGGGATGGGGCGCACTCGGACCAAGATTTCTCTCCAGTGCTTTCGTTCTCTCTCTCTCTCTCTCTCTCTCTCGCTCGCTGGGCGTCGCACACCTTAGTCAGGATTCAGAAGCAAGCAAGCAAGCGAGCAAGCAGGGCAGGCTCAGAGAAGTCAAGTCAGACCAGACTTGATCCGATGCAACAGCAGACAGGCGAAAAGGTGGCGGGCGCTTTTCTTCGTCCAAGAGAGGCTGAAGATGCAAAAGGACAGGCCAGCGCAGCGATCATACCTTTGCGCGGAGAGGAGAGAGAGAGAGAGCAAGACGAGGGCGGACAGCCTCATGCGCGGCTGGCCGGCATGGCCATGGTCGAATTGGCGATAGGCCCACGACGCAAGCCATCGAGGCTGTGTACGCGGCGGCTTGCTGAGTAGACAGAAACCTCGTCCACTCACACCACCGAGCAGACGAAAGTCCCAGACCCACCAGGACCCTCCCCCCTCCTTCAGAAGCTTCAGAAGGCGCATCGCATCGTCGCAACTCTCTGCCGTGTGAGCGCCACGGCAGGCGGCGTATGCACTCGCCGCTGACCGGCGCGCCCCCCCCCCCCTTCCAGCGGCCAATTGAGCCATCTACCTGGAACGCCGCAACCGACCTCAATGGACAATAGAGTTTTAGTATTGTACACAGTAGTAGAGTACGGTAGGTAGTTACGGTACCTACCAGTTGTCCGCCACAGCTTGAAAGCTTGAAGGCTCTGCCATGTTGTGGCCAAAAAAAAATCCCCCCAACAAACCTGCCAGACCCGCACCCAGCTTCTTGTGACAGCCTGACAGCCCAGATGCCGAATGGAACGAGCTGGTGATGGGTGGCGCAGCGATCACCCTCTCCAAGTGTCTCCAATGTCTCCACTGGCCCCAACCTTGGAACAGCACCTCGTCAACACCAAGCCCCAAAACTTCCGCTCTCGGCCTTG